ATTGAAATCCGTACCACTTTCAAATGATACTGGTGCCCGCCGAATTGGAGGTATAGCCGAATATGTACAGCATCAGCTTCTTGAAAAGTTGCATGACAAATTGTTTTCGATTTAGCTTGACTAGGCAACGATTAGCAATAAAGATGCTCATCTAATTGCATATGTCCTATTTTGTGATGGTATATTGGCAGTAGAAGAACTACTTTTCTGCAAACGTGTAGAACTTAAAGCAACAGCACTCGCTTTGTTGGATATTTTAAATGATTTTATTAATGGGGCAAACATAGAGTGGAAGAATTGCGTTGAAATAAGCACCGATGATGCTCGTACAATGTCTGGAAGATTCTGAAGTATACAAGCACTTGTGAAACAAAAATCTCCGCAATGTGTTTGGATCCATTGCATGATCCACAGGGAGGCTCTGGCTTCCAAAGAAATGAGTCCAGGGGCCAATTTCAGAAAACTATTTTGCAACTTTTCACTTTACACTATGCAAATTTACGATTGCAAAGTATTTGTGTTTCATAAAATAACATCGTTAACTTTGCAGATTATTCACTTTTTATTTTCACTTTGCAAATTTTTTATAAAATGTCATTAGACATTATTCATTATTATAGTTCTTGTATGTTTATAGTATTTTCTGTTCTATTACAACAAATTATTAATGAATCGCCACAATCTAATTTTTTTCAAGTGATGAAAGTGATTACGCAGATGGCAGAAGAGTACATAAAAGAAACTTTAAGGAAAAAATAAATTTTAACAATTTTAATAATTTACAATTCAAAGTTTTCGAATTTCTGTACCCGCTGTGAAAGTTTTATTGGTTGCCATTGCAGATGATCTGGCTCAAGTGACTCGTAGAAACCATGCACTATCACCAGGAGAACAATTGCTTGCAGCACTGCACTGGTATGGTAAAGGTGGTCAATATTATGGAATAGCAGCTATGTATGGAATCTCGAACGCCTCCGTTTGTAGAGGGGTTCGTCGAGTTACAAGAACAATAGTTAACAGGCTTTTTATAGGTGTCGAACGTTGGCATCATAACCAGCAAATAGCTCATGAGTTCTTTCGAAAAGGAGGCTTTCCATCTGCATGTGGATGGGACTATTATTAATATAGATGCTCTGACTGTAAATGAAGAGCAATATATTAATCGACATTCTTTAAATAACATGATGATATGTGGAACCGATTTCAAATTTTACGCAATTAACGCTAATTGGCCCGGAAGTGTTCACGATGCCAGAATTTTGCGGAATTCACAAATTTATCATCAGTTTGATAATGGTTGGAGGCCATTTTCAGGAGCCGTAATTCTAGGCGATAGTGCCTACGTACTAAAATAATGGTTTGTTCCTCATTAAACAGAAATTCAAATGATCCAACTAAATAACGTTTTAACCTAGATCATAAGCGAACAAGGCGATTAATTGAAAATTGTTTTGGTATATTAAAAGAACGATTCCCATGTCTCAACCATTTGAGGGTATCTCCGCGGTATGCTGCTCTCGCAGTTATTTGTTATGTAACTCTGCACAATATTACTTGTGAACAAGAAGGAGAAAACGCGATAAATGAATATCATAATAAAGAAGAAGATGATAATAATCTACCTGACTCATAAGAAACCAAATGGTGTTTTAATATTAGAAACTAAATTTTTTTCGTTAACCTTAACATTAACAATTCTTTCTTTAATTATCTATTCATATTTTTTTATCAATATTTTTTGAATATAAGCAACATCTTAAGGCATTATAAGGACATCTCATGGCGAAAAGCTTAACTAATATGTAGTTGTGGAGTTAAGTTTCCTAATGCGAGAACTGCAGTAAGTGTTGAGGGCTCACGACAAATACGGAAGCGTTAGTAGGTCCCTTATACCATGGCTGTATGTATTACTTTCAACGATTTGATATTCGATTAGGGCCAGTCTTTTCACCTCTGAGTAAAGTTGAAAGTAACTACTTGCTGATTTAACTATACGGCTATTGTTTGTTAATATGTCAAGTAAACCTACATGTAACTTTACTCAGAGGTGAAAAGATCGACCCTTATATTGATAATTATAACCAATATCAACTTGTCAAATTTGAAAATAAAATTTTTTTTTGCAGTTTTTTTGAGTGCCCTCGCAAAGGAACGTAACTGGATTAACATGAATATGTTTTTTAAATTATTTTATTTAATATTAAACAACAAATTAATTAAATAAAAAACAAAGGTACAGAACTTTAACTGTAAAGAGACTTCATATATTCTTAAGGATTTAAACCGAATTCTTTTTCTAATTTAAGTGCCTGTAACCGACGGTGGTAAATCTTGATTTTTAGTTGTTCCTCTTTTAACTCTAAGTACTTTGAAGTAGAATGTTGAAGTTTTTTTTTGTCCCTGATACTTTAGCTTCTGTTAAAATGTTTTTCTTCAAATCATTTTCTACAGAAACTATTGAAACAGAAAATTCTGTAATTTCATCAAGTAAAAGTTATTTAAAAAGTACAAAATTTAAATTTTTCAGCATTTTCGTTGAAATGAGTGTATATAGAAAAATGTTTCGAGTTAGATGTATGTTGAAAATATATATATTAAGTTATCTCTAATTATTTATAGAGGTGCTACAATAGGTTGTACAAAATAACCGAAAAAAGCCTACTAGATAGAAAAGTCATGTGTTGGACACATCAGATTTTTTATTTTGATGTGCTGGCGCCCCCACGTAGAGTTATGGCGCCCCCAGGGGGCGATCTCCACAGGTTGAGAAACGCTGATCTATTATTTATCCATAATAAAATAAATCAGTACTTTTCAGGACTTACACAATTGGATTTCGGCTATTTATCCTCAGCAGAAAAACAAACTATAATAAACAAAAAAATCCAGAAACAAAGAAAATTCTGAAAATAGAATTGTTAGTGTTTTATCTAAAATTGGTTCTAGGAGAACTGCAGATATACAGATATGACAAGACATCATCTTCATCTGTACGACCTGAGGCTGTCTACAAGGAGGAGTTCTATTAATACTAATGTGAAGCATAACCGTAGATTAATTTCTATGCAGATTAACTGACCTCGGCATTACCTTTCACGGTTTTGCCGTTGGCATAGTCATATTTGCGAGAGGCAAGCTTGGAAATATCGTGTAATATAGTCCAAAAAAGACTAGAACAGACCAGAAGATGGCGCAGAGAGGTGAGATCACCAAAACAACACTAGTAGCCTTTTCAAGAAAAGAGAACTCAATTTTAAAAGATTCAAATTAAACGGAATTAATATCAAATGGAAAAAATAATATTCTAAGACTCTCGGACTATGAATTTATCTCGAATATACATAGAAAAGACTAAAAAGCCCTAACAATATGCAGCAGAACTAGTTTAGCTACTGCGAGAATAAAGGTATAAAGACTAGGCCGTGTTTGCATCACCCGTGCATTGAGAATTTGTCCTACGTTCTACAGTTAATGGTAGAGAACTAGGAAAAAAGGTCAAGATATAGAATGATCAGTAATGGAGTAATCAGATTGAAGTCTTTTAGTTCAAGGATCAAAGAATCTTGGGATTTTCCCCAAGACAAAAAACTTTAAAATCGTGTTTTCAACAGGCATGCAATTTAGTGGTATATGGATGGTTCCGAAACTACAGCCTGAACTAGAATATATCTGAAATATAAGTGTATGGGCCCAGAATCAAGTTTAGGCAAGCATCGTCCAGGCGAAAATTCACGCCATTAAAAAGTGTATTCAGTTTAATATTGACAAAACTATCATAGACAAGAGATTATAATCATGTCCAATAACCAAGCAGCCATGAAAGCTCTGAGTACTTACGTAATCAGCTAAAAAAAGGTGTAAAAAACAGAATGAAGAAAAATATAATTACTCACATATCTGTCCCAGGACACAATGGGCAAACATTTAACGAAATGGCAGACATTCTCGCAAGAAAAGGATCTCAAATGCCCTCTATGGGGCCTAATCCATTTTGCGGTATGAGCAAAAACACAATATTGGGAGAGACTAAAACAGAACTAAGCACATTATTGGAATGATCATTTGGGACTAAGACAGATACTTCTGGGTGAATATGACCAGAAAAAATCGAACTCCTATATCTATCTGAGCAAGAAAAGGCTACGTATACTAACATGGATCCTTACTAGACATTGTCGACTCAAAGGACACCTTAGTAAACTAGAGATTATGTGAGGAGGAGGTCGAAACTTTCATTCACATTCTGACTGAATGTTTAACATTCCGGTTTCCAAGGGCACTATACTATATAGCGACAGAAGTGGACACAACAGTCTTTTAAAACACATATATAATATACTCGATACATCCAAAATTGCTATTTCTGTTGGTAGGATGTTCTATAAATAATAATAAAGCATAATATAGTAATAATAAACCAAAAATAAGATATGTTAAATTTAGAGTAAAAATAAAGTGAAAAAAAAAATAGATCATATTATATAGGAGAGGCTTATATTAGGTTTTTTTTTAATCATATAAAATGTGTTTAAAGCATATAAAAAATAAGTTTGCAATCATCAAAAATAGCTTTTCCCTACGGCATTATAAGTGAGGCTTCTTTCATCTTTCGTTGGTTATATAGAACGTTGAGTTTAGTGCATTCATAACTAAGTTTTGAAATGTTTTCCTGTATAAATTCGACTTTTCAATTCGTCCCTCTCAGTTTATAAATGAGAAATATTTCCATAGACATTTTACATGCTCTTTGACTCTAATGTTAAACTGTCTACCTGTTTTTCTGACATTAGCTTGCATACAACGGTATGGTAATGACTTATTTTTTTTTAAATTTTACTTTTGGAATGTTAACATCTTATATTTATGTTGTTACACCCTCATCGTATTGTATTTTTACATTTAATAATAAACAATCAATGATTCAAGAATTTGATTTGGTGACATGGATGATCTCTTTCACTTAACTTAAAATCATGTTTAATGCAATCCTTCATTTTTAGATTATATTATTGATAAATATGGTACCACAGAGTCGGATATTGAAATAACAAACGAGTTTGAAGGATTCGGAGACATAAATGAACAGGATGTTGGTATAACTACAGAAATACCCACAACTACAGAAATACCCACAACAACAATAACAACATTACCAACAACAACTACAATGCCTACCACAACTACAACGATGCCAACCACAACTACAACGATGCCTACCACAACTACAACTGAAAGAATCACTTGTGTTAACTCAAAGTATGGTTGTTGTTATGATGGAGTAACGTTTTCACCCGGATCAAATGGAGATGGATGCGATCCAATTCCCAAATCAGGTAATACAAAAATGTTATCTATGAAATTAGTCATTAAAGTCATTATCCTATATATATTTTGTTATTTCAGAAAGTTGTTCATTACCAGTCGATACAGGTGGTTGTAACAACGTTACTACCAAATGGTTTTACAGCACTCGTCACCATCAATGCAGAATATTCAGGTATAACGGTTGCAAAGGAAATGGTAATCGGTTTGCAACAAGAAATATTTGCGAAAATACTTGTGTTTATCCAAAGGACAAAGGTAAATAAAAAACTTTATTCATCTTAAATTGACCTTAATAAAAAATATGGTTTTATCGAAAATCAAGAAAAATATTGTCCCTAGATATTTGTATCTTTTATAAATGATATACATATCACTTCGACTTCTAGAACCTATAACATTAATATATACTGAGTAGATGATATTCTTTCTTTAAATAAGTCAGTCATGTTCATAATACATACAGCTTGTAACTTTTTTGATGTACTTAATGACTTGGGCAATGAATAAAATGCTTTCAATTACACAATTGTAAGATTAATTGACCAATAAGAAAGATCAATTCAAATTTGTCGAACTCATCCTCCTGCAGTACAACTAATCACCTGTAGTTATACCTCTGATAATAGATAACATAATTTTAACCTGACATTCTAAAGGGACACTTTAACAAAATTGGCATGTACAATGGGGAACTTATGTGCCGACTATGTCGCAAGAAACCAGAAACGGCCAAACACATACTGTGCGAATGCAAAGCTCTAGATTGCAAAAGACAGGCTCTTTTTGGACAACCCCAGGTTGATCCAACAACGTATAGAACCCACGCACCCAAGGACCTGTACAAATTTGTACAAAGGTGACAGAGTGGGTGCTATGAACTAACATGGGGTAAAACACAATAAGCCAATAGGCTTCAGTGTTATTCGGAGACACATAGTCAGACGAGCCCAGGAGAAAGAAAAAAAAAAAATACTTGGCACTCGGGGACTGCCGCGGTAAAGCTATTGCATAGCATTTTTATCAACTTATGCAATTATAATGATTTATTTATTTTATTTATGCAGTATTTTTTTTCTTTGATATTAACTTAAGTTTTTTATCTTGCAATACATGTAGGTTATTCAGGAATTTTTATCATTGAAACATATGTTTATGGTAACTGAAATAAGAAACATAGATTTGAGACTTGATATCCTGTAAATATCTGGAAAATACCGCGTCAATGGTGGTCTCATATTTTGTTGTGGATTCTTGTGGATCATTATTCATTTTCAAATTCAATTTTTCCGAAATTGTGTCTAAAAGAGATAGAATCAGTTAGCAGCTAGCCTACACGCATACGTCTAGTCGCACGCACACAAACACCGTGCCGAAGTCTGCCGAACTGAAACGACCTTAAACGTTTCACGGCTTTCAACGCCGCACCGCTGTGCCTGTCGGAGTGGGGGATGTTAGGTTTATTTTCGTTACGTAATTTCTGTTTCGATTTTTCGATTTTTTGATACTTCGATTTTTCAATTTTTTAGATTTTTCGATTTTTCGATTTTTCGATTTTTCGATTTTTCGATTTTTCGATTTTTCGATTTTTCGATTTTTCGATTTTTCGATTTTTCGGTTTTTCGATTTTTTTTTATTGAATAAATGAGAAGTTAATATTGTTTAACGCCGCACCGCTGTGCCGGTCGGAGTAGGGTTAGGTTTTTTTTCGTTATGGTCGTTACGGAATTTCTTGATTAGGTCGCCGCCACATACTTTGATTTTCGTCGCCGCACTCAAAGCCCGCGATAAAAGCTATGCAATAGCTTAAAAACCTGACATTTATGTCGCCAAGCTAGCAATCCACGGCGGTTGAGTCCCAATTGTACAGGAGGAAAAGGTAGACAAATTTGAATTAATGACCTTCCTTACAATCTTACAATTTATCTTCACTCATCCTCCTGTACAATTGATGCATCTGTAGGCTGTTTAATGAAAATAATCAATGATTATTTTGAAGAAAATAAACATTTCAGTTGATTTGAGTTTATTTTCTTACATGATAACTGTGAATATATTATATTATGAATGTGTATTGTAATGAAAATCATTAAAACTAAAAATAACTTATATGCAAACTTATTTTTCCTACGACCACTTAGGAAAGTGAAACATAACGCACTATTTAGTCTTCTGGGAAGTGCTCTGTTACACATAAGAATATACTTTCCACCGTGTGTAAATATGAATTAACTTTCCTATATTATTTTTTTCTGGTTAATATACATATTTTATTAGATAATTTATGTGACATAAGAATGGTGGTTCAGTTCATAGAGTGTTCATCTTTATCAACTCTGTATATTGCGACCATGTCGCGACGCGATAGAAGCAATTTGTTTTGGTTAAAAAGTATTAAAATTGAAAAGTACGACTAATGTTGCTTATTTATTTTAAATACATTTTATTTATCATAATATACCCCACTTGATTTGTACTATTTTGGTTACTGTTCAGAAAAAAATGTAGGTAGATAGATAAGTGAGGTAAATAATGATTACTAATTATCATTAGTATGTAATAAAAAAAGTTCTTTGTCTTGAAAAGATGTTTTTTTGTGCGATGGTAAAGGGAAGAAAGTGTTTCCCTTTAACGATGTATTCAAGAACTATTTGAATATGTTATTTTCTGGAAAACTTTCTGGGCAAACAAAATTAGCTTTGTCATGTCTTATGTGATTTTTAAATATAAAATAATTTTGTTTAACCATTTTGCTCAGGATAGGGATTAGCACAGGTGCCATTTTGTAAAGCAAACTGTTTTTACATATCTTCGAGACATATTTTAATTCGTTATCAGATGACGACTAAAAGTTGCAATAGGCGACCAAGGCGTAAAAAAGTTAATTAATTTTGTTTTTAGAAAGATGCGAACTTCCAATTTCAATGGGCAATTGCAACAAGAAATTGCTTAGTTGGTTTTACAAAAAGTCAACGGACGAATGTATTAAATATATGTATGGTGGTTGCGATGGAAATTCAAATAGGTTTCATTCAAAACAAGAATGCCTAAAAATTTGTAATCCAGATAAATTAAAAGTAATGTTAAAAGGTGAGTTCAACTGGTAAAATAATTTTTTTTATAGTTGTTAAATAATACATTCATAATTACCTATTTACTTAAAGTGATGGATAATAATTAATTACTCAACAACTTTTGTCCAATTACAAAATAAAAGGTAAAATAAAAAATTCAACTTATGAATAGAGCTCAAGGAATTTCCTATGTTAGACTGTGATAGAACAAATAATAATATGGGAAGAAAATAAATTCCATTGCTAAAATGTGACCATTTTAAAAATAAAAATACAGTAAATGAGAAAAGCTAGAAGATCATGTATAATTTCAAAGGTTTTGTAACTGCACCGGTTAAGTTAGAATTCAAATAGACCAAACTTTATGGTTTCCCAAAATACCTTCCCAGACATTTTCTTTTGAAGGAAACTGTATCTTATTTACGAAATAAGTGAGGATTTGTGTCATTCTAATACCTAAATACTTTCTATCGTTTAGTTGATATTTTCATAGAATTCCAGTCTTCGGTCGGGTTCAGAAATAACAGGTTGGGATAGTCATTTGAAAGTTGAAGCACCATTTTTAATTTGTATACTTTGGCTGACTTCGCAAGTAGACGCAACTTTGGCTGTGAAATAATTACCATTTCTGCAACTATATCAATTTGTTTGTCATTACTAATTTTTGGTTGACCAGATATTTGGCATTAAGAACTCTACCTTTTGTTTGAAACTTATGAAGAAACGACCTCAAAATAAGTTCTCAATATAGGGCGAACGGAATACCTGTCATTAAAAATGTATTCCGCTTTATGAAAATTGCTACTTTGTCAGTTAGACTGTAAAATATTTGGTTAATTTGACAATCCGCGGTTAACTATGGGAAGTTACTGAAAATGCTTGGGAAGAGTTGGTAGATTCCTACGAAATGCAACATTTAATTTTGCTTATGCCAATAAGATTGGAAAGTGTTGTAGCAGTCAATGACTCTACAATAAAATATAAATAACACTATTCTTGTTGTAGCTGTTAAATTACGAGAAGATAATTGTCTTCATTTTCATTAGAGACCTTGCCTGCACCTTATCTAAAAGACTTTCGGAATCTTTGTTGTTCTTGCCAGCGGCTCTTAACTTCTAATGACATTTAATTCAGTATCTTGTAACGGTATGTCGTTCATACCGTTATTTATTACCCCATCTCTTTTCTTCGATAACAATTCTGTATCTGTAAGTCGAGAGACATTATAGATTTCACTTTCCATTTAAACTGGAGTCGAAGAGACTAATTTTAAATTATCGAGATGATCCTCCAATAAATAGATTATTTCTCATTTAAAAATTTCATTAGGTTAATTATACGAAGCGACATCTGAATGCAACATCAGAATAGTATTTTGTTTACGCTTATATGAAGAAATATCTGTATGATTGTCGTTTTATTTAATGAAAGATTAAGATTGCTACCTTGTTGTATGAAAAAGGATTTGCTGATTTGATGAATTATTAACGTTCTGATGATATGTGAAGTACTCTAGAAGACCTTTTATCGTAGATGAGACCTATTCCACCTCCTTGAAGCAGCCCTGCCTCGTTGATACAAGTCTCTTATTTTTGATAAACTGGGTTGTGCTGAGGGTTGACCATACCACACACTTCGCCTGAAGCACAAAAAGGTTGACCCAAAATGCCAATGAAAACGAAAAACGGCATTTTGTTGGCGGGCATTAAAAGCTCTCTTGAATGAAAATACTGGCTGATCCTTTTTTCAAGATACGTGAATTTTTACTTTTTTATAATTTTTCATCATAATTAACGTTTAAGCGATATTTTTTCCATACCATCTAACGAGATAAATATCATGGCGCGTTTTGTTTAAAGTAGTGTCCCCTGTAGGCCTAATCCAGTGCGAAAATAAAAATGAAAACAAAAATAAAAATAATAATGAACTAACTACGGCATGTTTTTATAAATGCTGTGAAGAAAAAGTAACTACCGCTTTTTATAAACGGCCGGAATATGATGAATCATGTATGAAATTTATATTGAATCTTACCCAAAATTTCAAAAATTCTCTGTTAACAGATTCCCCGGCCTGTTCTGACCACAAACCCAAACCATCGTTGTTTGATAATGAAATGCCGTCTTTAAACTGATCAAGTATATTGTGCATTTTTAGAGTTTGAGATGTCCCAGTACTTTCTAGATTTTTGCGGAGTTTTTCCAAGTTCTCATATAAATCGGTCATATCTGCACGTTGCGTGGAGAAACAGTCATGTTCAAATTTATTCATTGTCTTAAAAGCAGCGACGTATGGCTGTAACTTGAACGGACCAACCTGTTCGTAAATTTCAGGATCAAGCAATTTATCCGATTCTTGCAGAAGTTTTCGGCAGGCATTACCCTCAAAAATTTCACCCTGATAATTTTTTGCTACTAACTTCAACTTTGATGGCCAAAGCAGAGCTTTCTCACGTCCTACAGCAGGAACTATGCCGTTCCAGAATAGGTGGTTTGTAAATCCTTGTAACAGATGAAGTTCAGGCAACACACATTTCTGAAGAACGTACATGTTCATGTCATCTTCTGCTGCATCATTGACGACATCTTTATACTCCGATTGTTTTTCATAAAAAAGAGAGGCATATTGACTATACTGTGGCATTCCTTAGCATACTTCTTATCTTTGCCAAAACATTTAAATTTATTGTAATCATCTTTTAAATTTTTAAATGTTTTCAAAATTATATTATCATCAATTTCCATAGATTCCTCTTTATCGGCATCAACAGTCACTTTTCCAAAAGTGTGCAATTCGCTCAAAGTGATGAAACAGTAATGGCAAGGATACGTTGATGTTGCAGTTTACTGTCCATTAATCATTAGTATAAGTTTCAAGTCAGAGCAGAATTTGAAAGGTATCTCGTTGATCTTTGTCAATTCAAATAAGGTCTTCACATTTTCGTAAGTTTCCTTTATTTTTATTTTAGTTTTTATTTTTATTTTCGCAGTGGATTAGGCCTACAGCGGATACCACTTTAAAACATACTCGAAAAGCCCCAGTTTGGCCGATTTTCTCGTAAAAAAAGCCTCTCAGGGGTAAAAACGATCACTGTCAAGAGCTGTAACTACCTACCATCGCATGGGCCTCGAGAACAAAAAGTTAGGGTGGAAAATTTTGGTCGATTGGGCGTTCCCGGGTTAATTATGATTAAAAATTTTGAAAAAGTAAAAATCCACTTATATTGAAAAAAGGATCAGCTAGGATTTTCATTCAAGCTGGCTTTTAATGTACTATTAACCGCCAACAAAATGCCGTTTTTCGTTTTCATTGGCATTTTGGGTCAACCTATTTGTGCTTCAGGCGAAGTGTGACCATATTCGCAGGTGATATTAACATTAATTTGTTGGATCTCGACAATAAAACTTGTAAATTATTTCATTAATTAATCGATTCTGTTAATATAATACAAATAGTAAATCAGCCAACCAGAAATAAAAATTTACTAGATGTTATTGTTTGTTCTATCGATTTACAAATAAGTAACATTAAAGTCTGCGAGTGTTCTACTAATCTATCGGACCACAGAATCCCTTCATGTACCATTAGTTACCAAACTGAAAAAGTTACATCCTATGTTATGTTATGTTGATAATGGGGTGTTAATACACTGCGACCTAAAAGATCTATTGTGCCCCCTTCTGTCGCCACTGCACTAAGGAAATGTCTCAATGCCTATAGCGATCCTTCCAATCCTATTTTCTCAAGGAAGTGTAGGATTTGAAGTGGCTTCAAGTTAGGTAAGTCTCCCTCTTCTATTTGATATCCTCCTAGATATAGTGCCCTTGGATTCTGGAGTGCTACACATTCAGTTAGGATGTGAATGGAGGTTTCGTCCTCCTCCTCACAGAATCTGCACTCATTATCCTCTACTACTCTCAGTTTACTTAGGTGTCCTTTTAGTCGGCAGTGCCCGGTAAGGATCCCTGTTACAATACGTAGCCTGTTCTTGCTCAGGCAGATGCAGGCTTCCGATCTTTTTTGGTTATATTCACCCAGAAGTATCTTGGCCTGTCTCAGCCCCAAGAGATTGTTCCAATTATCGGTTCTTCTACTACCCAATTCTTTTTTAATCTCTTCTAATAATATGTTACTGCTGATACCGCAGAACGGCTCAGGTCCTACAAAGGGTGTTTGAGCCCCTTTCCTTGCAAGACTATCTGCAATCTCGTTACCCTGTACCCCGTTATGTCCCGGGACCCAAGTGAGAGTAACTCTATTTTTCTCGCCTAGCTCATTCAATTGTTCTAGGCATCTCCATACCATTTTTGAGCTGATTACGTAAGAACTCAGCGCTTTGATGGCTGCTTGACTATCGGACATGATGATAATCTCTTGTCTATGATAGTTTCTCTCGATGTTAAACTGGATACACTTCTCGATGGCGTGAATTTCCGCCTGGAAGATGCTTGGGTATTTTCCCAAGCTTTCGGAGTGCTTGGTTCTCGGCCCATACACTCCTATTCCAGTTCCTTCTATGGTTTTGGAACCGTCCGTGTACCACTGAATAGCACGTCTTTCGGTTGCAAGCGCGATGGATTCTTGGCTCCATTCTTTCTTGCAGCCCAGCTCTGTGGTTTTGAAGTATTTCACAAAACTGTACTTCTTTTGCATTTCATCCTGGGGCATGTCCCAGGTATCTTTAGTCCTGAAGCAAGTAGACTTTCGTCTGATTAGTCCGCTCCTGATCATTCTATATCGTGTCCTTTTTGCCACATTCTCTATCATCAAATATAGAGGGGTGAGGTTTAAGATCACCTCCATTGCGGCCGTAGGACAGGTTCTCATTGCACCAGTAATGCAAACACAGGCTAGTCTTTGTACTTTTGAGATATTAGCTCTCATAGTAACTAAACTAGTTCTGTTACTCCAGGCTATAGCCCCGTAAGTGATGATTGGTCTCACTATTGCAGTATACATCCATCGCAGTATGTTTGGGTTACATCTCCTTCGTTTACCCGCCATGTTTCTGCATATCATTAGGGCTTTTGTGGCCTTATTTACTACTTCCTTCTCATGTGTGTTCCAGAGAAGTTTGTTGTCCAGGGGTAGGCCTAGATATTTGACTTCATTTTTCCATTCTATATCTATCCCGTCTAATTTAACGGTTTTGAGATTAAATTTTCTTTTCCTTGAAAAGGCTACTGGTGTTGTTTTTGTAGGGTTTATACTAAGTCCCACTTCACGGCACCATCTTTTGGTATGTTCTAGTCCTCTTTGGACTATATCACACAGGATATTACTAAACTTGCCACTAGCAAATATGACTATGTCGTCGGCATAACCTTGACAGGGTATGCCGAGATCAGTCAATCTGCATAGAAGTTTGTCTACGATTAGGCTCCACATTAGTGGGGATAGAACTCCTCCTTGTGGACATCCTCTGCTTGTGCAGATGGAAATGGTGTCCTGCCCTATCTGTGTCTCTGCAGTTCTCGAAGATAACAGCTGAGCCATCCATCTGGATGTGATGTTATCTACTCCTCTGTATGCAAGTGCTCTTTTTACAGATTCGTGTGGCGTGTTGTCAAAAGCTCCTTCTATGTCTAGAAAGGCACAAACGACCGTTCCTTTGTTTATTAGTGCATCCTGGATTACATCAGTCAACTGTACCAGGGCGGTTTCTGTAGATCTTCCTGCTCGGTACGCGTGTTGGCTGTGGTGGAGTGGCACCCTCTCCAGGACTTCTGTTCTGATATAGTTATCTCGTCCCTTCCACCAGGTTGTCCCAGTGGAGGTAGGGAAGGTAGCTTCCGTTTGGATTCTTTCTTGAGGGGAGCTTCCCTCGCCGATGAGTGGTGAGAGGGGGATGGAGAAGATGGAGCGATGGTGCTCCTCTTCTCTTCTCCCTTCACCTCTTTCTTTTGTTCTCCCACTTCTCTCTTGTGAGGTTGTCTCACTTGAGAGGTTGAGGGAGGTTGATCGCTTCGGATGGCAGTTACATCCTACATATGTATGAAGATTTAAAAAAAATTTAATACTTATAGCTTCAAAGAAGATTTAACTTCAACAAACTTTAATGAAATTTACAATGTTAATGATATTAATAAAAAAGTTGAAATTCTGAATAGCAATATGCTACGGTTATTTAACAAACATGCACCATTACGTCAGGTAAAAATCACTAGAAAGAAAGTCCCTTGGCTTACAGAAACTTAAAAAACTATGATAAGCTTAAGAGACAAGGCTTTGATAAAATTTTATAGAATCAAAAACGTAAAACATTGGAACTATTATAAGTCACTTAGAAATGAAGTCAGTTATGCCATCAAAAGAGAGAAAAAAGCTTACCTTGAATTCAGGATACGGCAAACAGGTAATAGGTAGAAAGAACTTCATAAGCTGGGTCTAATAAATAGTAATAAGTAGTAAAAACTGTTCTAAAAAGATCCCGTATGTGTTAAGAAAACCAGATGAAATTAATAATTACTGTAACGTGAGTCAATTCATTATTCACTCATGCTCTAATCCTCTGTCTTATTTGGCCTTTGAGGCTCAACTTGCCGATTATCGTACATAATTAAACCCCTTAAGACCAAACATATATAACGACTACGGTGAAGGCACTTTCTAGTATATTTCAGATATAACGGGTCGGTGGTGTAGCAGTCTAACGCGCTTATATTTATTTATTGGTAAGTTTATGGTCGGATACTGCCGGGCTTCGAATCGCGGACCAGACCATGTGGATATTTAATGAAATTGCATGGTTCGGTACAGGATTTGATGTGTGCCGTATAAATAGAAATTCAATTTCTGTTGATATGACATGCAGATTATAAAATCGCCATGCATTACCGACTCGATGATAGTGGGTGTGGTTTTCCAGGTTTTTCTCACCTGTAAGTCAAATAGCACTATCAATCATCTCTAAGTCGCCCAGAGCGCCACGGCAAATAATAATAATAGCCGTCCCTTTCCCCACACAAGCTTAGCTTTTGGGGTTAAAATTCAATCGTAAGGGAGTGAATTAGGGAGAATATTATTATTATTTCTAGTTTGGCGAAGGAGATTTGTGGAATCCACCAAAATATTAAATTTCAATATAAATATTGGTGGAGGAACAACACGGGGCAGTTAGTTATATATGGACAGTGGAGATAAATAGTGAACAATTCAAAGACATTCGAAATATATAAAATAGAATAGTATTGTTTTAAAATAAATACGTGTTTAAATAAATTATTAATAAATAAACATTACATTTGTGTCGAGAAGTAGAATAGTGTAAATAAAAAGTGGACAATATTGGCTAAAAAACTGTGTGATTTAAAAGTGACTGAATTGCGTGGAGAATTAGAAGATCTTGATCTGGAGACGACAGGAAAGAACGCAGAGCTGGCAGAGCGGCTTAAAGAAGCACTAGCAAGTGAAGACTTGGATCCGGAAACGTATATATTTTCTCAGTTGAGGGTGATCTGTATAGAATAATAATTAGGGTTGGGTTATCGTTTTTATTAAAAATTTTAATTTGTATTGCTTTAAATATATTAATAGGGATAATTTTACACGAATATTTTAACGATTTCTTAATAAAAGCAACAACTCCATCGTTTCTATTTACATCGCCTTCATTATATATGATATCATAACCAGGTAAATCAAATAATGAGCATGAGGTAATTTTTAGGGTCTCGCTTAGACATATGCAATCGACATTAAATTCGATTTGACTTAAGTGAATCTTTAATTCATCTAAATTTTTGTATATACTTCTAATATTTTAAAGGATTAGTTTAAAATTTAATTTTTTGTCATAATCATATTATTTCAACAAATTGTTCAATTGCAGAATTTCTGAATTTTTTTTTGTATTTACTAGAGAATAATATATATCACGTATATACGGGTTTATTTTATCAATAAAATTTATTTCTTACAGCTATAACAAAACACACTAACAATAATTTAATAAAAAATGAGTATAAGAATACGACACTCAAAAAATTTTAGAAGATAAGTAGTTAAACCTACGACTTAGTAAGGAGCAGACAAATTGCACAAACACTATTGACAATAATCTTTATTACAATTTTAACTAGATTTCATTATAAAAGATTTTTTTGAGAACTGTGACTGGTTTGTCTTGTCACTCTTCTGTTAAGTCCTTTTTCAGTATCCGAGGGCTCAGTATATTTCCGATTATCAGAATATTGGGCTTTGGAATTTTGGTTATTGCGGAAATAAAGTCTTTATCTGAAATTTTCTGTAATTCATTAGCAGTGAATGGTTTACTATTGATAATCAATATATTCTTCTTAATATACGCTTCCTGTTTCTTTATTCTGGCTAGTTTTTGATGTTCATATAAAACTTTACGATCCTAGTAGTCTTCCTGAATATAACCCCTTGATATAAAGATTCCTGAATCTTTAAGGCGCGACTGATTTTCTAGTATAGTTGTTGTTAGTTAATAATGAATTAGTTCTAGGACCACAGTTCTTGGTTTTTCGGTTTTCTCTTTTACCATACCTATACGGTATATATCCCTTACATCATGAAACTTGCATTCTATATCAAGACGGGTGTTTATCAATTACAAAATAAATATTAAACCATATTGAATAAATCTAAATTGACTTTCAAAAATTAAACTTATGACTAACAAAAAGTAGAAATATAATTTCTACTAAAATCTAATCGCAGCCAAAGACACTTGTGATGACTCAACGATATGATATCAAAACAACTCTTCATAAAAGATTGGACATCGATTGCCCAAACAAATCTCCGACTACGCGAAACTTCCCCTTCTCCGGAATATTACGTGCGGCGACAAGCAAATTTCAAACCATTTTAATACCAATTTTGTACAGGATGCCACACATCCAAAACAACACCACAAACAAACTTTAAAATGTTACATATTATAACAATAATTATGACTCTAATTAATCCCTTTAATCTTAAAAAGTACATTTTCAGATCTCTGTTTCCAACCTAAGGATAAAGGCCGTCCAGGATGCAGAAGATATGAAAAAAATTACTATTTTGATAGTTCCACACTTACTTGTAACAAGTTTTGGTTCAATGGCTGTGGCGGTAACGACAACAGGTTTACGCACAAAGACGTATGCGAGAAAATGTGTAATAATGCCAAAAAAAGGGGTAGGTAAATTACATTAATATTCAAAAATAAAATTTAATTAGGGTTAGGTCAAACTTGTCGAAGGTTTAAGAAACGTTGTCTGCCCCTAATTCGTAGTTGAAACTGCACATATTCTTTAATGTTTTCTATCATTCATATTTTCTGGAGGCTGTTTTAAGCTTTCTTAGATCACAGGCTTCTTTTTGTAGACCGTACTTCTTGCAGTCTGTCAACAAAGATTCTTCAACAAATGAAAACATGCAATGGTCTTGTCGAAGAAGCTTTAAAAGCTACCGAGTAAACAGCGTAACTTTTCAGTTAGAAAATGCTTCCAACTTTATCAAATAATTAAAAATACTTGTTGAAAAAGTGTGTCTAAGAACTAATAATCTTCTTGAATGACCAAGAGATTATATAATTCACAACAATCTTCTTTCAATATAAACCAAAGTATTTTTATGTTGTTCAATGTATTGTAACTTTAATCATTTCATTACATAAGTATTACATTTTATACATATACAAAAATATATCAAGGCACCAGCCAAAATGGTGCAGGATCAGCAAAAAGCAAAAGTGATGTCCTTGAGACACAAATTTGTTTTAGTTACTTACCAAATTGAATGAATTGTTTTGAATTTAAGCGTGGACATATTGTCATGATTAAATTGGCTTAGACAGTTTAAAGAACTGAAACGAATTAAAATTAATTTTTTTTATTATTTATAAATTTTAATGTTTTATCTTTTGTAGCAACTTGCACTGCTCCACCAGAATACGGTATTTGTAATGGTGAATATCGAAATTATTATTTCGACAATAAATTGTCCAGTTGCAAACAATTTATCTATAGCGGATGTTCCGGAAATAAGAACAGATTTGTATCCAAAAAAGAATGTGAGGACTATTGCAAAGGATTTTGAAATGTATTTATTAATGTATTTAAAAGAATATAAGTATTAACATCTGTTCATAAGTTTGAATATTTTCCACATCCCCAATGTTGAACTTTCATGATTATATCGAAAATTGCATATGAGGAGAAAACCTTGTATTTTACTTCAGTTTTAGAATGCTTTAGTAATACTGTAGAATTTTATTAACAAATATTGCAGGGTTACCAATAAATTAATTTTTTTATGAAATTAGAGAATGATTCAGACCCCAAATTAAATTATCATTATTTAGGTAGGTTTAAAATAATTTCAGTTTTTTTTAAATGTAGTAATAAGATACTAAGCTAACGAATAGTGGTAATAGAACTGGATTATTTTATACAGTCTGTTTTGAAAAACAAGTCTTAAATATGGCTAATTCCAAGTTAAATTTATTGAATTTTTTTCAAAAGCCACACCCTGTATATTATTTAAGCATACAATTCCTTATAAATTAACATATCCAACGATACCAATGCTAGTCAATAATACATATGAGTGCGTAATTGATCGATAGTAGTTTTATAATAGAAAATACGAAAAAAATTAATATAAAAGTTGTATGACCATATTTAACAATTATTTATAAATATATAGGGTAATACATAAACGATTGTCTGACCAAACCTATACATTTTTGAAGCAAAACACCCTGTAGGTAGTTATACATATTTGACTGTTTTCACATCGTCGAACAATAATTTAATTTTCATTCATTTGTTATGTTGTATATAGGGTGTGTCAAAATGGTTACGATTTTCTCAATTTTCTAAATGGAACACCCTGTATGTTATGCCATCAATTAATATAATATTTTATTGAAAAAATTTTAAACATTCGTAACCTCGCGTGTTGACACACCCTATATATATAACATAGCAAATAAATGAAGTCAATTAAAATTATTTGACGACGTGAAAACAATCAAATATGTATAATTACCTGCAGGGTGTTTTGATTTAAAAATGTATAGGTTTGGTCAACATCTCGTTTATGGACCACCCTGTATATATAGGAATAATTTTTAAATATGGTCATACAACTTTTATATTAATTTTTTTCTTATTTCCAATAATAAAACAGCTATCGATCAATTACGCACTGATGGGACACTCTGTATATATGTTATTCTCTAACATGTTAGTATCGTTGGATATGCAAATTTATAAGGAATTGTATGCTAAAATATTATATCGGATGCTGCCTTTGAAAAAATTGAGTAATTTGACTTAAAAGTAACCATATTTAAGACACATGTTTCAAAACACTCGCTATAAAAGAATCCAGCACTATCACTACTATTCGTTATCTTAATGTTCTATAAGTCAGTGTATTAAACAATTTTGAAATCAATGTAATCCTACCTAAATTATGATAATTTAATTTGGGGTCTGCATCATTCTCTAATTTTATAAAAATGTAATTGCTTGGCGTCCGCCAAGCAATTCTTTTTTAAATTATTCTAGGGTTGAATACAGTATTACCAAACCATTCTAAAATTAAAATAAAATACATGTTCTATTTTAAAAATATGTCAAGCAAAAATGTAACACCCTGTATATATCCAAAAATATTTTTAAAATATATATTTTTTAAATCCATATAATTTTTCTTTAAAACATGTTTGCGTGTCTTTAACATACATTAAAATATTGAACACTTACGCACTAACGGGACATACACATGGGCACATACACATAGCAGTCAACGTGTTAACTCAGAAATAAGATTCCTTATTTAGATAAAATAACATTCAGAAGAAGAAGAAAGCAAAGACCGCCAATATTACGTGCGTATCATACAATGATGCCAGGTCATTCGAATTTAATTTACATCGGAATGCAATAAAGTTCCTTCCCTTTCCTGCATTTCACCATTGTATATTTCACACACTTTAAAATCAAATTCGTCCTAGAAAGAATTGTGAAATTATTGTATAAATCGATAATCTGGCAACGTGGTCAACACTTGTTCATACACAGGCAAAATCAATCGATAATTTGGAACCAAACGAGACAAATATATATGAAAATCACGAAACAATAAAAGACGGCATACAGCTGTATCACTGTTTCAAAAATTGGTACCTCTAAACAATCATTTACCTATTAAAACCACCGACCTTGATATTAAACTGGATGGCTATATGACATAAACCCTACTCCTAATTTCTAAGCCGACATGGCTGGAAAAAACGATCGGTGCGCATGACAATTTGTGCGCCAGACTATCAGTTTTAAGCATTCTACGTCACGTTTTTCACGGGCGTACTATGATAAATTATATTATTTTTTATTAATAACTCCCTATTTTAATAATTATTATTATTTCAACATTTGTTTCAGCTGCGTATTAATCAAAAATAATTTTTAAGTGATTTTCTTAAATTAAAATGTGTCTAGTTGAATGTAATAAGTGTCAAATTTAATGTTGATAATCCTTTTTAGTACATTTCGATACGCACATGTTGGCGCCGAAGTGTCAAATATCACCTCGCTATGCGGCTTGATTTTGTTGATCGGCTTTGGTCTTCCAGTTTAATATAGTTCAGTGATTAAAACCATCTCTAAAACAAAGTAGCCACATTGTTTTTTACGGTGACATCTTCTTAAAAATAGATGAACTACATGAACTATACACAATTACAGGAATTCATAGAAAATCTCTAATTTGACAAATAATTTTATCAAATATTTGTTAATCGTATTTCGAGTTAGATTTCAAAAATACGCAATAAAATTTAGAAATATTATGGCGGGATACTTGGAAAAATATGTAGAATGAAATCTCCTACTTTTTAGTCTCTGGTTTTAAAATCACTTTTTATGATTTTTTTTTAAATTTAGTGTATAAACAGGACAAATAAAAAATAGGAGATTTCATTTTCCAAACCTTATACTTTAAGCTGGTAGAAGATTCATTTTAATTCATTTAGCGGGATTTAAATGCAATCGGAAATGGTGAACCCTTGCTTCTTATACAGTGAGCACCATAAGTCTTACCCCCCCTATCTAACTCTTTACTGGAGTCTTGTTAGGAAAATCGCCGAGACAGGTCTATTTTTGATTTCTACAATGTACATTTTTGTATGAATAGTTTACCCTTAATTTCATCCCTTACTGGAAGGGAGCAACCCTTTCGAAAAATTTAAATGGCATGGGGTGGTGAGTGATAGCTCATTTGAAAGAGGGTTTTATTCTCTATTCAACCGTGTAAAAAAATTTGACATTTGCTTCATTAATTCTCGACTAATTGTTGTTTCAGAATAATGGAAATTGACGTAGCGCACTCATCCTTAGAATTAAAATTCGGCCCTGCATGACTTCGGTTTTGGTTCAGACGTGAAGTAAGACTTTTTGCCATTAGAAGGTCACTGTTAGTCTAGTTGCTTTCCTATTTTGTGAGGTTTTGTTATTTTTAAACATTAATAAATCAACATGTAATGATGCGAATTTCAAAATTTTTTTGCACGGTTGAATAGAGAATAAAACCCCCTTTCAAATGAGCTATCACACACCACCCCATGCCATTTAAATTTTTCGAAAGGGTTTTTACCCTCCAGTAAGGGATGAAATTAAGGGTTAACTAATCATGCAAAAATGTACATTGTAGAAATTAAAAATCGACCTGTCTCGGCGATTTTCCTAACAAGACCCCAGTAACGAGTTAGTTAGGGGGGGGTAAGTATCACTGTATGAAAAATACAGTGATACTGCGGCCTTAGTGAACCTTTGCAATATTGATACCTTATTATACTATTAAGCAAATTTGGTCCAATCGTTCTTTGCTTTATAGGTGGCTTCTACTATCGCACATGTGTAACTGCGTTTGTGATATACCTACCTCTACTTTTGTGATATTTCTACTTGATTTCAAGAACATTTCAATAATAAATTTATATAAATATTTTGTTTTATTTGAAATTTCCATGTCTTGATTGCGTTTTTACTATACTTCAATTTCAGCCTCTCTGTATTACATTACACAAAGAATAATATAGTGTGTCCATGGATGGACTTAATTATACTTGGAAAAATATTTATTTTAAATTAAAAAAAAATATTTTTTATAATTTCTTAATGTGAATCGAATTTATTTAACAAGTAAAATAAATTATGAAGAATTACTTTTTTAATTTAAAATAAATATTTTCACCAGTATAGTTAAGTTCATCCGTGGACACACTGTATAATGCTGTAGAACTAATTCACATTATAACATCTATAGAAAGTTTCAGAGCAACTTTCAGGGTAAGTACCTTAAAAGTGCTAGTGTGATGTTTTCCGAACTTCACTTTGTAACCTCTGTGAGATGTGCTATAAAAGTCTTGCCGTTGCGGACATTCGGTGGTTGCAGGAATATTAGGGTTTCATTAAAAGTACATCGCATGTGAGCTTAAAGAGCCAAACATTGCAGCTTATTAACGTAGATGGGATGTTTTGTGCTAGCTGGGTATCTTCAAAACATCTGCTGAGGAATAATGTAGTATATTTTATTTGTATTTATAAAATAAATAAAATAAAACCGAGTAAAAAAAGCATACATTGCTTATGAACAATGTCGTCGAACTGTGGAGCGCACCTGGGGGTCTCTCCCCCAGAGTCGTCGCGTGGACTTACACGGCCAATATAAGTCCTATACTTACATACGGTGCTGTTTTCTGGGTGCCGAAAACTAGAACAAATTTAAAGAACATCATATCGCAACAAAACAGGTGCTATGAAAACCACACCGACCACAGCCATGCAGGTCATTTTTAGTCTCACTCCCCTTAATATTTACATCAAAGAGGTTATTCTGATAACAATGACATGCCTCCCCATGGTTGGAACAGGACCTGATTTAGGATTTGGAAGGGATTTGGTGAAGCAAGATGTCGCTTTTGACAGGAGGCGCTTGGTACGCTCCTACTGCCTAAAGTGAACATGGACTCTATTTCACGAAGATATATCTTTCTTAAGCCATACAAAGTTATAATAGAACAAATAGAA